CGTCCTCAATCTTTGAAGCTCTTGCAAATTGTCAAGCCGAGTGTGCGCGGCGCTAAGGCGAGAACCGCATGTTGACCAGGAGCCACAACCATTGAAACTATTGCAACATTTCAAGACGAATGTGCGCGGAACGGCCCGCCCTTCATCCGTAAACATTGAGAAGTTTTGAAGACGAATGTGCGCGGCGCTACGGCGAAAGCCGCATTGTGGAAGCGACCCGCCCTCATTCTTTGAAGCTCTTGCAAACCTTTAAGGCGAGTGTGCGCGGCGCTTAGGCGAGAGCCACATTTTGATCACCGCCCGCCCTCAATTCATGAAGCTCTTGTAAATATTTCAGACGATTGTGCGTGGCGCTATGGCAAGGGCCACATTGTGTAAGCGACCCGCCCTCCATCAGTGAAGCTCTTGCCAGTTTTTCAGCTTCTGGATCATACGTGGTGAGGAAGTCTCAGGCGAAACGCTCGGCCCGCCCTTCCGACTGCCCTCGGGGTGCGACAGAGGGGAGCTATTTATACAGAGCAGGAATGGAGGACGAGGAGGAGGAAGAGGAGAACGAGGAGGAGGTGGAGGAGGATGAGAGATGAGGAGGAGGAGGAGGTGGAGAAGGAGGATCGGGAAGGAAGAGGGGGAGGAAGAGGAAAAGGAGGAGGAGGAGGAGGAGGAGGGGGACCAGTGTAAACCCAAGTGGCATCATCTATGTTGGCGTAAACCCTCCCTCCAAGCTCCTTCGTCATAGGCCCCTACAACGGTTCAGTTCCATTGAAGGAACTGCCTCTTTGGACAACCGTTTGAAGACCCTGAAGCATGCCAAAACGTTGTTTCCGGGATTCCAACGCCACGGGCCACCTGACTGTTGCGTCTTGACAGTCCTGAATCGTGCCAGAGAGTCATTTTTGGGACTTCAACACAGCGAACCAACATAACTGTTGCACCAGCATAACCCTGAATCTTTTCTAAACGCCATTTCTGGCACGTTGATGATGGGATTCCGCGGAACTTTTGCATTTTTTCAAACGATTGTGCGCCGCGCTAAAGCGAGAACCACAGTTTGGAAAAGGAGCCGCCTCCAATCCGTGAAACTCAAGCAGATTTTCAAAACGAATGTGCGCCGCGCTAAGGCGAAAACTACATCTTGAAGAGGAACCGCCCTCAATCCGTGAAGCTCTTGTAATTGTTTAGAACTAATGTGTGCCGCGCTAACGCGAGAGCCACATTTTGAGAACGACCCGCCCTCAATCCGAGAAGCTCTTGAATTTTTGTTGTAAATGAATGTGCGGCGCGCTAATGCGAGAGTCACATTTCGAAAACGACCCGTCCTCCATCAGTGAAAATTGTTGCACATGTTTAAGCTTCACAGTCGTAGATGGTGAGGAAACCCCAGCCGAAACGCCCGGTCCGCCCTAAACACTGGCTCCAGGGTGCGACAAGGAGAAGTTAGTCATAAGGAAAAGGAGCCGGAAAAGGAGTGGAGGAGGAGGACGGTAGAGGAGGAGGAAGGGGAGGTGGAGGAGGTGGAGGAGGAGGAGGACAAGTGCAAACACAAGGCTTATCAACGATATTGAAATCACCCCCGCTTCCAAGTTCCCTTTCGTATGCCTCTACATGGACACATTCTCACTGAGTGAATTGACCCGTTGGCAAACAACCGATTTGAAATCTGAGCTGTGCCAGAACAATATTCCTGGGAATTCAACACGAACCAACGTAACTGTTGCACCCTGACGGTCCGACATCGTACCAAAACGCCTTTGCTGGGACCTTAGTCATGATAGTCTTTGAAACTGTTATAAACTCTTCAAGCGAATGTGCGCGGCGCTTAGGCGAGAATCACTTTGTGAAAAGGAGCCACCCTCCATCCGTGAAGCCCTTGCATTTTTCAGACGAGTGTGTGCGAAGCTGAGGCGGGAACCACGTTTTTGAAACGATCCGTCCTCCATCCGTGAAGCTCTTGCATTTGTTAAGACGGACGTGCGCGGGGCTAAGGCGATAACCACACTTTGAAAACGACCCGCCCTCCATCCGTGATGCACAGTTCAAGTCGCATGATCATACATGGTGAGGAAGTCTCGGGCGAAACGCCCAGCCCGCCCTTCCGACCGGCCTCGGGGTGCGACAGGGAGGAGTTATTCATAAGCGAAAAGAATACATTGATGGGGGGTGGAGGACGGGAGGAGACTGAGGAGGCAGAGGAGGAGGAAGAGGAGGAGGAGGAGGAGGACGAGGAGGAGGAGGAGGACGAGGAGGAGGAGGAGGAGGACGAGGAGGAGGATGAGGAGGAGGAGGAGGAGGACATGTTGGTGGGCAACCACTCGTCCATCTTGGGGTTCTGGTGGGATTCCGTATGTGTTCGGGGGGAGGAGGGGGAGGTGGATGGGGGAGGGGAGGGGGGAGGACTAGCAGGAGGAGGAGGAGGAGGAGGAGGGGGGAGGAGGAGGAGGATAAGGAAGAAGAGGAGGAGGAGGAGGAGGAGGACGCGCTGGTTGGCAATCGCTCGTCCATTTGGGGTCCTGGTGCGATTCCGTATCCGGCATGTGTTCGTGGGGGTGGAGGTGGAGGAACAGGAGGAGGAGGAGAAGGAGGAGGAGGCGAAGGCGGAGGAGGAGGCGGAGGAGGAGGCGGAGGAGGAGGAGCTGGAGACGGAGACGGAGGCGGACAGCCACCATGGAGACAAAGGCCCGCAGCTCGAAGAGGACCGAGACGGAGACGGAGACGGAGGAGGAGGATGAGGAGGAGGTGGAGGAGGAGGAGGAGGAGGAGGAGGACAAGCTAGATGCGCTCGCGTCACATCTGACGTCCTACCCCTCCCTCCCATCCCTTACCGTGGCGTAGATATCCTCTCTTTTTGCACGGCAATGATCGCGAGAGGGTACGCGATGTATGGTAGCGCACGGCATGGCATGGCGAAGAAGAGCACGGAGCGTAGCATGCCATAGCATGGCGTGGCATTGCGCAGTGAACCATTGCATCACAAAGCATTGCAACACAACGCATGGCATGGCACAGCGGCGCAGAACAGAACACCGCACAACATGTCATGGCATGGCGCCAGCTTCTTTGGAGGGTAAATGGATCTTCTTCGAAAGGTCTGGGCCGGTCTGGAGTCGTGGCTCCATGTCTAGCTCCTTAGGCTCCCCGAAGGGCTCCACGCCAGGCGAGGCTGATGGAGAGCACCCGCTGGCTCTGCTTTCAACATCGCCTTCTCAAAGCAGAAACGGGGCTCCCGCTTGAGACTTCCTGCAAGCGACTACGCCCCAAGTGGGGGCCAAACAATCAACGAATCGGCACCGAATGTGTAATCACTTCCGATGGTTTCTTCGGGGAGGCATTTCCTTAGATTTTGGGGCCTACTTGGAAGGAAGTCCAGCGCCGCAGCGGGAGCATGATTCGGACCGAACGGAAGCGCGGAAATGAGGCCAGCGCTGCAGCGGGAGCACGATTCGGAATGAGGGGAAGCCCGAAAATGAGGCCAGCGCTTCAGCGGGAGCAGCATTCTGGACAATGGCCCAAGCGAAAACCCGTTTCCTGGGAATCCAGTTTGCAAAAAAAACAGTACGCGGAGGGGGGCGGGTATTTCTTGGACGTCGTCAGGGAAGAGAGGAGAGTAGTATTCAGTTTGTGTGGATGATGCTGATGATGATGATGCTGATGATGATGATGGTGATGATGATGATGATGATGATGATGATGATGATGATGATGATGATGATGATGATGATGATGCTGATGCTGATGCTGATGATGATGATGATGACGATGATGATGATGCTGATGATGCTGATGATGATGATGCTGATGATGCTGCTGCTGCTGCTGATGATGATGATGATGATGATGAGGAGGAGGAGGAGGAGGAGGAGGAGGAGGAGGAGGAAGAGGAGCCCGCGATGAAGCACTTGCTTTTTTTGGGATGTGCGGTGCAACATGGTGTGGCCTGGCAGCGAGGGCGGGGATCACGATCCAGCTGCTCCGCCGCGAATGTCTGCCGCCGTGTTGCGGGGGGCGTGCTGCTGGTGGTGGGGGGTGGATGGCGATTGGTGGGAGCTGGTGCTACCAGGAGGGGCAAGGGCGTCCGCGGTGCGGTCGGTTCGGCTGCGTCGCAGTTGGGCGCTCCGTCGGCTGTGGCGTCGTTGCGGCGTCGGTGCATCCTTCTATGCTGCTGTTATTTTCAGGTTGTGCTGCTGGTTTTCAGTTGTACTGTCGCCGTGTGGACCTGGGTCCCCCCCCCGGATGACCGCCTGGCATTCTCGTACGCACGATGCGCTGAGGGCGAGGTGGCAGGTTTGCCCCCCCAAGACTTCCGATTCGTGGGCCCCGAGCTGCCAACCCCATCCTCAGGACATTGTTTCGTGTACTAGTGTTTTTTTGTCGCGCGTCGTTGATTTCTGTATGCCGAGCCAGGACCACGTTTGCATAGGTCCCAAAATCAGACGAACTGGTCTCAGCAATGTGTGAAGGCGCCAGTCGTGTGGGCATCGTACTGCTTTTTCCGCATCAGGCCGGGCGTGCCAGTGATGGTCGGCGCCCTCCTACGTAGGTTCGGGGGCAACGACAGGGCGGGGGGGAAGGCGTGGGGGGGATGCAGCGTCGCCCACTGCTCGCCGATCTGGGCCTGACAGCCCCAACCCGCCCAGGCACGTGCGGATTCGCCGTCGGGGGGCCCACCGCCGATCTATCGGCGACGCATCGCCGATTCAAGGCCAATGTGTCCCCTCCTGTGCCAGCCCCCCCCCATCCCCCCCTATCGTTGCCTGTGCCAGCCCCCCCCCATCCCCCCTATCGTTGATTGACCAAGAAAGGACCCCTAACCCTTTGGGAGGGGACCTTTGTTAGGAGGGCCAGGCACATCAGGGACAGGGGGTCTGTTCTGCAGATGTATCGAACCAAGCTGCCCAGAATTATTATCTCTGATGCGAAGACAGGGACCTCAGTGAGGCTGCGTGTTCACCGTGTTGTTCGGGTTCGGGGTTCTCTTATCCTCAACGAATCGTTGCCCCTCCCAGGTGGGGATTCGCCTGCTGCCACCAGACGATGAAGAACGCCTACTGCGTGCCCCTGCGGCGGCACGCCGAGGCGCCCGAGGGCGAGGAGGAGCCCGCCGAGGAGGCGCTGGAGCAGGCAGGGCTGCAGGACCGGGGAGGCGGATGGGGCTCCGGGGCGGCCGCACGTCGGCGGCGTGCCCGGGGCGGGAAGCGAGGGTGTGCACTCGGAGGACGCGTAGTGGGGGGGCGATACTTCGAAGAAGGAAAAACGCCACAAACATACACTTGAGGCGCTCCGCGCGGATTTCTTGGCTATGCGCATGGCCCCCCCCCCGCGGCGCCTCCGGCGCCGCCCCTGGCGCGCTCCGCGCGCCAGGGAGGGGGGTCCAGCGCAGATCCAAGAAATCCGCGCAGAGCGCCAAAAGTGTATGTTCACGGCGTGCTTTCTTTCCTCAGAATGGGGGGGCGGCGAGGGCTGCCGAATAGGAGCCCTTTCGGGCTCCTGAAGGGGCACTTTTGGGGCCCCCAAGGGGGCCTTCAGGGCCCGAGAAGGGCACCTTCCTTTTCCTCCCCCCAACTTATCGCCCCCCCCTCTTTTTTATTCGCGCCCACTTCGCGGCTCGGTCGGTTCGGTTGCGTCGCAGTCGTTTGCGTTCGGTCGGTTCGGTTCGTTTCGTTCGGTTATCGTGTCGTTGCCGCGTCGCTGCGCCCTTCGTAGGCTGCTTTCGGCCTGCCGATTTCGGTCGGCTTCGATTTCGCTGTCGGTTCGGTCGGTTTTCGGTTTTGCTGTCGCCGTGCACGGCTTTGGGCAGTGAGAGGAGGCAGGCCTTCTCAGAAGGCGGCGGGGCTTCTCAGAAGCCCCCGCGCCTTCTGAGACATTTTCTGTGTCTTCGCTGGAGGAATAGAGCACCTCGCAGAAGGCCCGAGTCCTTTCGAGCCTTCTGAGAAGCCCCGCCACTTCTCGCTTGCCCCCATGCTCGCCGTCGAGGGGAGGCGGAGGGGGCTCGGGGTGACAGCACGGTTCTGGGACTCGGTCGTTCTCCGAGGCCGTCTCGGGCGACTGGGGCCTTTCCGAGGTCCCCAAGACGTCAGGTCGGGGGGGATTCCCATCCGAGGCGGTCATTTATACATGACCACCGTCTGGAGGGTCAGTTATCGGAGCCTCGGCAGGCGGTGGATATGGACATATTCGGGCCCACAGGGGCCGAAAGATATCCACATCCACCGCCCGCTGGGGCACCAGGACATCGGTTCCCAGGCGGTGGTGGATATGGATAAATCCCCGCCTCGCATCCCAGGTCACAGCACGGTCTGTCACCGCAACGTTTGGGAGCCCCAGCTGGTTGTAAAGCGTGACCAGGGGCACGGACAGAGCGCAGATCGGCTCAGGACGCCGCGGTGGCCTCCGCCTTCCGCGGCGGGGCGGCGGGGCGCAACGATAATCGCGCTCCGCGCGTCACGGTCTGGGCCAGAGCGGCTGCCCTTCTCCACGGGCGCGGCGCGAGGCAACGACCGATCGGCCCAGGGATGGTCCTGAAACAGAACACGGGAATGCACACGTATATGTACGTTTTTTTACGACAGTTTGCGTAGTTGCAACGTGAGGGGGGCGCACGGTGCAAAGCGGATGCAGGCGTACCTCCTCCACTCTCTGGAGAGTCGCTCCGTTCGACCGGCACCGCCGCGATCCTGAGGGTGGTGCGGACCGATTGGTCGGGGTTGCGCCCACGAGCCTGCGCTGAGCTGCGGCGACGGTGGCGGCTCGCCCGTCGGCGGCGGGACCAAATGGCTGGAGACATCGTGGCCTGCGTGCATCGGCTGGATCGGGTGGCGACGGCGAGGGCCAGTTCAGGAGCGTGCCCCGCCAGCTACGATGATCGCTCTGTCTCTGGCGGATGTCGGGATCGCCCCCTGCCGCCTGCCAGGGCCCCCCGTGGTGACACTCGCCGCAGGTGCTCATGCGCTCGCAGTGGGCGCGGCGGCCCCCCCCGCAGGTGTCGCGGGAGGCGGTCTGGCTGGATTGGCCGTTGCCCGTGGCGGCGGAGGCGTCCGAAGTGGCGCTGCAGCAGGGGGGTCGCCCGCCGAGCCTGCGCCCGCCCCAGGCGCTGGGGTGGCGATGGCGCCCGCTGCCACTGGAGCCGCGGGCGGCTGGGCCCTGACGGCGGCATCCGCACTGGCCGCGGCGGCGCTCGGGGCGCCCGTTGGTGCGGTCGCCCTCCTCGTCGCGGCCGGGCTGCCGACCGCTGCGGCCGCCGCTGCCGCAGACGCGCCAGGCGGCGACGCGCGGTTCACGGCTGTGGTCTGCGCCACCGACGGCGAGCGGGACAGGGAGTTCGGAGATGCGGTGTGGCAGCTGGTGGAGCCCCCTTTCGGGGACTGGCCGAATGCTGGGTCGTGCGCGCTAGTGTGGGTCGGAGTCTTCATCCACAGAGTCGCGGGCACCCCGCTGGCCTGGCATATGACGTGGCGGGCTGGCGAGAGCCCCAGCGATGACGAGCCTGGGGCCGACAACCACGAGTTCATGTACCACGAGTTCATGTACCGCATGTCCGCATAGTTCGACCTTGGCGTCCAAAAAGGCCGTGGCCAAGGCGATTCAGACAGAGAATGAGCGACGCCGCCATCAATTCGAGAGCGCCTCCGACTTCATGGTGAACGAGCTCTTGTTATCCTGTCTCTCGTTCGGTCGTGGTCACGGCTGTGGGTCATCATCGTTGCGAATTGTCGCAGCGAAGCAGTAGTTGAAGAACGCGGCCATCGCAATGGAGAGGCCGAGAGCACAGAGGGCGTCCGCTGGCGGCGGCGGTGGCGGTCGAACAGACGGAGGAGGCCGAGAAAACCGAGGGGGGCAGAGGGTTGGCGGCGGGCGCGGCGCGTCCGCCGCGAAGTCATGAGCACCTCACTCGTGGGCGGCGTGGGAGCGGTGGGCCGTCCCTCAGAATCAGGATGCCGGCTTGGCGGCGGCCAGCTGCCATGGGCCTGGGGGGCGCCAGCGTGACTTCTTTCTGCTGCCGCTGCTGGGGGGTGGCGCATGCGTGCCCTCTACGTCGCAAGGCCGTCGCTCTCAGCGGCGGCAGGCCCTTCGCGTTCACCGTCGGACTCGTCTCGACGAAGCCATTGCGTCGCTCAATTCATTCCGCGGCTGCCGCAGCGCCGTTGGCAAACCCGTCAACGAGTGCCAGCGTGTGGCCCTTGACAGTATGAACGCCGCTCTTCATCGATTGGGTCGGCAGCCTGACGTGTATGCAGAGGCGCGTGAGTGCGAGGGTGGAGCCCTCCGTGGCGTCTCGATCTACGGCGATCAGGCCCCGAACCCGCCAGTGCCGTACAACCGAGAGCTGATCTCATGGCCCGCCTCAGCTGGCCGCCCCGTGGATATATCTACATTGGTCGGCAGTTGCGCGGAGGGCGGTTGCGGAACTGGCGGAGCCATGTGCTTCAACCTTTGCAGGGGGCCGAGGAGGTTGTGGCGTCTGCGCGCCCCCGCGTGGCCTACTGCGATCGGAAACTTTCCGGCGATGTACATAGCTATGCAGTATTCTTGGGTCAGCTCCACGCCGGGGGGTGATCGTCTTCTCGGAGGCTGTGGACTTCAAGGGGTCTGTTAGTTTGTTCTTCGTTCCCGAGAAGAACCGGGCACAGCGCGTCATTGTCGACGCGCGTATCGCGAACTACTTCTTTCAGCCTCCTCCCAAGACGAGGCCCCCAACGGCGTCGGCCTGGAGCTCGCGGGGCGTCCCCGAGTCGGGCGCCTGCGTCGCCGCCGCCGACTTGGAGTGTGTTTTTTTACCGCGTGCGGCTGCCCGACGGCGCGGAGGACTACTTCGCGCTTCCAGTCGTCGACGCGACTTTCCTGATGGAGGCGGGTGCGACGGACCTCGCTTTCGAGCCAGGGCAAATGGTGACTGCCAAAGAGGTCGCGCTGTCGATGGGCTCCTCGTGGGCCTTCCATTTGTGCCGTGAGGTCTCGTCTACTTGTTGGCTGCGCGGTGGCGTCGACCCGTCCGGCGTCGTCATAGACGGGCAGGTCGGCGTCCGCCTGGGCCCTGCGCGGCCTGTCGCCGCGGGCGCCTGCGTCGACGACGTTGCCGCCGTTAGCGCGGCGCCAATGGCCGCCGACGTCCTGCTCTACACCCTGGTGGCGGGCCTCAGGGGCGCTGGCTTGGTAGTCCACGAGGTCTGCGAGGCCTCTGCCACCGTCGAGTTCTTCGGGCTGCATCTGCTCGACGGCGTCGCGCTCGCCGTCGAGGCGCGGAACGTCTGGGGGCTGCGAGCTGCCATCGAGTCCCTGCTGAGGAGGAGGTGGACCACGGGCCACGCGCTGCGAGCCGTCTTGGGTCGCGTCGCGTGGGCCGACCTGCTCCGCGGTGACGACGCTGCGCGCCTGCTGCGCTTTCGTCGAGACTTTCGGCGGCCGCGCGGGGCGCCTGTGGGGCTCCGCCGCCGGTGAGCTCGAGGTGGTCCGCAGCCTGCTGCCGGCGCTGCAGTCCGACGTCGCCGCGGGGTGGCGCGGCGCGGCCGCATGCCGCGTTGCAGCGCCCAGAGAGCTCGGCGCGGCTTGGTGGCGGCTGCCCCCCGACGAGGTGGCGGGCTGCGGGCGATTCTCGGAGCGCTGGCAGTTCGAGGTCGCCGGCGGACAGGCAGCCCGCGCGCGGTCTCTTGCGGCGGGGTCGGCGGCCGAGCAGCAGTCGGTAAAACATGAGGAGACTCGTGGTCCCCGCAGTGCGCGCGACGCCCTCGCCTCTCGGGATCCTCCGGCACCTGTCGTGGCATCTCTGCAGGCCGAGTAGATCCCCGTTCAGTTGGGCCTCCAGCTCCCCGTCAGCCAGGTCTTCTCAGGCACGTTGTCTCTCGCGGACTCCAGGGGGGTCTCAGGCGCGGACGGGCTCGCGCAGGACCGCGGCGGGGCCCTCGTGGGCCCGAATGGCTTCATCGTTAGTTTCGACGAGGCGCCCTCCGCGACTGCTGACAGCCCTGGGTGGAGGCCCGCGGCGGCCGTCGAGGTCTCGGGCGGGGCTGACATCCTGTTCTTGGCGGGGGGGGCCCTCTGCCCGGCCCATCGTCATTTTCTTCGGGGCTCAGGCAGCGCAGGGCGACGGCTCCGGGTGCGGATTGATAGTCCGCCGCTCGCTCTCGGTGTGGTCTAGGGGGGGCCGGAGTAGGCGCCTGCGGCGTTGTCTTGGGCGGGCGTGTGCTCTCTCGGTTGCGTCGGGCTCGAGGCCCCGCGCGCGGTGGGTGGCTTCCGAACGGGGCCCCTTCTGACGCCGTCGGCCAGGGCCGACGTGGCTGGTTCAGCGGCCAGCGGGAGCTGCGCGGGCCGTTGCCGAGACCTGCCGGCCTCAGTGGTGGCATGCATGCTGGGCTCCAACGGCGCCGCGGCGGTGCGGGGCCCGCGCGCGCCGCGCGCCGTGTCGGCGGCGGCCCAGAGGCTGTGGCTGACGCCCATGGCGACCGCAGAGAGGCCAGCCATGCCCGGGCTCGTTCGGCCGCAGACTCTGGCCTTTCGCCCCAGCGCTGAGCGGGGCTACCGCCCGCGCCACCTGGCCCGCGCGGGGCGCGTCCGAGGAGCTCGACGCCGTGGTGGCCCAGGCCTGCTTGAACCATTGCCAGCTGGGGGCCACGTGCAACATGGGGGCGCGGTTGCTGGCGGTCACCTCGCGCGTGGGCCCTTCGAGATTCAAGAAGGCCGGGGCGCTCCTTCCTCGGGCCTCGAGGACGTCGGCGGGCTGGGCGTGGCGTTCGCCGCGCAAGGCGAGGCCGCCCCAGCCGTGGGCCGCAGTGCGCGCAGTCGTGGGGTGGCTGATCGACCCTGGGCAGCTCGGCGTGGCGCGCTGGATCGCGATCGCGTTCGCGGCCCGCCCGAGGCCGGTCGAGGCCGAGGGCTTGACGCGCAAGAGCCTGGCCCCTCCGACGCCAGCGGCGGACGAGAGCTATTCGAGGTGGGGCCCCCCGCTGCGCCCGACCGAGGGCTTAGTTTTCGCCGCCCCTGTCGAGACGGACTTGGTGGCGCTCCTCGAGCACGGCTTCGGCAGAGTGTGGTTCCTGGTGCGGGTGCCAGCCTCGGCGCCCCACGTGCTGGGCCCCGCGCCGTCCGCGGCGGGCGGGAGTTTGCAGGGGCAGCTGGCCGCGCGCCGATGATCGGCCCCGCTGGGCTGGGCGCCGCGCCCGCAGCTGCTGGCGATGAGCTGCGTGGGCGGCGTCTGAGGCGGCGGCTCAAGGCGGCGCTCTGCGGGCGTCGGCTACGGCCAGTGGTGCTGGAGCTCATTGCCGGCTCAGGTCAGGCAGCCTGGTCGAGACTGCGAAGCGGCTGCGGCTGGTGGGATTTGACTTCGATCTCCGCCATGGCGCCGCCGAGGACCATCTGCGTGCTGCCTTCTGCGTGCACTCAAGGGGTGGCTGGCCGCCCGTGTGGCAGGCGCAGTTTGGCTGGGAACGCCTTGCACGACCTGGGCCCGGGCGCAGAAGGGGCCCCCTCAGAACGCGGTCCCACCCGATGGGCCGCGCGGGGTTGCTTCCGCGTGAAATGGGAAAGCTTCGCATCGGCAACAGATCTTTTAGTGTGAGTTGTGACATTACCGAACGGTGCATTGAGCTTCGCATCTCACATTTTCTTAAACAATAGAAAACCTTGTGGGGTCGTTGTTATAGCACGCCAGGCGGGTGAAGCGGTTGCCCATGGTTCTTTCGGCTCAGGTCGTCACGTTAGACTGCTGCAAATGCGGCGCCCCGTGGCGAAAGCGAACCTCTGTTGCAGCCTGGAACACTGTCAATCTGCAGTCCCTTAATGGGCGCTGCAGTGGTCGTCGCGGCCACTGCTCCAGGGCGCAACTGCCGTGCGCTATCGTGTCTGGCCGCTGCGACGGTGTTCGTCTTGCCGCCCAAGCTGCCGCCTATATCCGCTTCGTTTTTGCAATGCTTTGGCTCGTCTCATCGAACAGTCGGTGCCCAGTCGCCCTCATGCATGTATGCTCGATATTTGTTGTCGTTAAGCCTGCGTCGTAAGTTTTGTCTTTTCGTCGGCCTATCGGCCAGTCCCATCCCGTTTGAGTGTTTGGAGTTCTGTGTGTGCCGTTGCCGCCTCGCCTGCGTGCTTTGTCGCCTCGATGGCGACCGCGCGCCCTCGTGCGCCTGGCTCGTTCCCGCGCGAGACCGTTGGAAAACAGGGGCGCTCCTTCGGCCGGGCCGGCGCCCTTCCGCCCGACCCCGCCGCTCGTGGCTGTCCTTCGGAAGTGGAGGTGGGCTGTCGGTTTTTTTATGAAACAGTTTACGTAGTTGTAACATGAGATGGCCACGCGGTGACTCGATCGTCGCCGCGGGGTGCTCAAAGTGCACCCGCGCGCAGGCCGCCCTGGATTTGTTCTTTGATTTTTATGCCCTTTGATCCTCTTCGTCCCGAGGGATTATGTGTGTGCCGTTGCCGCCTCGCCTGTTTGCTGTGTCGCCTCGATGCCGACCATGTGCCCTCATGCGCCTGGCTCGTTCCCACGCGAGACTGCTGGACAACAGGAGCGCTCCTTCGGCTTGGCTGGCGCCCTTCTGCCCGACCCCGCTCCGTTCGTCTTCTGGATGGTCGCTCTTGGCTTGCCCTCGGAAGTGGAGACGGGCTATATGCGCACAAATATATGTATGTATGCATATATATATACACATATAAACATATATATATGTATGTATGTGCATATATATATACACAGTGTTGGCCTCCAGCCAGTGCTGCCTATCCGGGGCGCTCCTGGTAATTATGAGGGTGATGGTGATGATGGTGATGATGATGATGATGATGGTGATGAGGATGCTGATGATCACGATGATGACGATGATGCTGATGATGCTGATCATGATGATGATGATGATGATGATGATGATGATGATGATGATGATGATGATGATGATGATGATGATGATGATGATGATGATGATGATGATGATGATGATGATGATGATGATGATGATGATGATGATGATGATGATGATGATGATGATGATGATGATGATGATGATGATGATGATGATGATGATGATGATGATGATGATGATGATGATGATGATGATGATGATGATGATGATGATGATGATGATGATGATGATGATGATGATGATGATGATGATGATGATGATGATGATGATGATGATGATGATGATGATGATGATGATGATGATGGTGATGATGGTGATGATGGTGATGATGATTATCGTGGCAATGGCCATGTGGCCATTTTGGGCGTCGTTGGACCGATCTTTCGGTGATTCGGGGCTTTCTGGGCCGTCTTGAGGGCCTCGTGGGGCCCTGTTGGCCCGTCTTGGGCCTCTTTTGGACTCGAAGGAGTCATGCGGGAACATTCTGGGTCCCCAGAGGACGCGCGGGGGGCCTAGAGAAATATGAGAGCTTGGGGTCCGGGCCCATTGAATCCTCAGGCTTGTGGACTGAGGCTCAGGGGATTGAGCAAGTTTCCTGGGGGAGCCTCTTGGGGGTCGTTTTGGGACCTATTGGGGCCTCTTTCGGGCCTCCTCGGGGCCTCCTGGGGGCTTTCTGGGGGCCTGTGGGCCCCCCCGCCCCCGAACATCAAATGCGTCGGGAATGGCGCCCCCTCCCCCCTTCTAGAGCCTCCTGGGGGCTTCTTGGGGGCCTGTGGGCCCCTCCACCCCCGAGCACTGAATGCGTCGGGAATGGCGCCCCACCCAACCCGCCTTGCAGAGTGAAGCTTGAGCGAGCTCAAGTCCACGATATCAGAAACTCGCACGCCAGGTCGGCGGACATATATATTTATATATATATATATATATATATGTATATATATATGTACATATGACATGTGTATCTATATGTCTGTCTGTCTGTCTGTCTGTCTGTCTGTCTGCCTGCCTGTCTGTGTGTATGTATGCATGTATGTATGTATGTATGTATGTATGTATGTATGTATGTATGTATGTATGTATGTATGTATTCACGCATAGATATAAACACATATACACATTCATGCACGTTGACGACCTTTTTGAAGCTCATTGGAACAGAAGACCGAGAAGCACAGCACATCAGTCCAGTAATCAGTCGCTCCATATCAGGGCGGCGCCAGGGCGCGAAAATACTTGCGCGAATATCATCGCGCATCGAACATATTGGAATTTCGCCGCCGTGCACATTGCTAACCTGCCTGCCGAGAGGTGGCTATCTCGTGTTCTTGCATGGTCACATGCCGGAAACAAGTCCCAAGGGAAATCGCGGAAGACGTGGGAATCCGATGCCCAGTGCTCCTGCGACAAGTACGGGATCGGTGACTGGAGAATAGCTGCCAAAGACGCACACTTCATTCCTGGACATGTACGGCAGGATATTATCTTCACCACATGAGCGCCTGCTAGTTTTCACCTGCCTGTGCCCCGAACGGCCGCCCCTTCGCGGGCACATAGGCTTGACCTTGACCTTGACCCAATCGCGCATCGCGGGGCGCGATGCCCGAAGCTAGGCGGCCTGGGCAGAGAGCGTCGATCGCCCGCAGGACGCCGCGGCGGCCTCCGCCTCCGGCGGCGCCGCGGTGGCCTCCGCCTCTGGCGGCGGCGCCGCCGCGGCCGCCGCGGCCGAAGAGGCGGCGCGGGTCTGTGTGTGGGGGAATTTACCAATGCAATCGCGGGGGGAGCGTTTCCTCCTCCTCCTCCCTTCCCCATCCTCCCTCCTCCGCCTCTTCCCCCCCCCCCCCCTCCTTCTCCCTCTCCTCATCCTCCTCCCTCCTCCTCCCCATCCCCCTCCCCCCTCTCCCCCTCCTTCTCCCTCTCCTCATCCTCCTCCCTCCTCCTCCTCCTCCTCCTCCTCCTCCTCCGCCCTTCTCAGTCTCTTCCATCCTCCCCTCTCCTCCTCCTCCTCCTCCTCCTCCTCCTCCTCCTCCTCCTCCTCCTCCTCCTCCTCCCCCTCCTCCTTCTCCTCCTCATCATCCTCCTACTCCTCCCTCCTCCTCCGTCCCCCTCCCCGTGCCGCTGCTGCTGAGGGCTGTCTCAGTCTCCCACATTCCTTCTCCTTGTGAAAAGCTCCTCTCTGCACCCCGAGGCGTGTCGTTAGGGCGGGCCTGGCGCTTCGCCCGAGACTTCCTCACTATTTATGATCCTTTAATTGAACATCTGCGAGAGTTTCACGGATGGAGGGCGGGCCGTTTTCAAAATGTGGCCCTCGCTTCAGTACCGCGCGCATTCTTTTGCAACGCTTGCAAGAGTTTCACGGATGGAGGGCGGGCCGCTTTCAAAATGTGGCCCTCGCTTCAGTACCGCGCGCATTCTTTTGCAACGCTTGCAAGAGTTTCACGGATGGAGGGCGGGCCGTTTTTAAATTTAGGCTCTCGCCTTAACACCGCGCGCATTCGTTTCAACGATTCGCAAGAGTTTCACGGATGTAAGGCGGTCCGTTTTCAAAATGTAGCTCTCGTCTGAGCGCCACACATATTTGCTTATTGTTAATGTCCAAGAACGAGTGTCTGGGCACGATGTCGGATTGTCTCGACACACGAGTTATCTTGATTCGTGGTGTCGAAGTCCGAGTATTGGTGTTCTGGCGCGATTGAGGACCGTCCAGAAGCCACGGTAACGGTGATTCGCGGCATTGAACTCCCAGGAGTGGTGTTCTGGCGCAGTTCAGGATTGTGAAGGCCTTGCGGCCCTTGCCGCCGACCCTGAAGGCGGGACCTCTTCTGGAACCCCCGCCGGCGCCCCCCCCGGGACCCGCCTGGACCCCAGAGGGGGGCTGTATTGACCCAGGACTACCCTCCCTCACCACAGGCGGGGCCTCCCCTAGGACCCCCTTCCAGGACCTCCCTCGCACAGAGGGGACCCTCCCCCGTATCCTCTTGTCCACAGGCAGAGGGGGACAGAAAAGGGGAGGGGGGGGCGCCGGGACCACGGGGGGGGCGGTAATCTGACCCAGGATCTCCCCCCGTACACCCCCCATACCCTTTCCGTCCCCCGAGGATCGACTTAACTACGACGTTTGTTTTCTCTGTTGGTTCTTTGGGACTGGCGACAACGACGATGAAGACGATGACAGCGTCTCACACGCCGAAGGGTCGGTGGATTTTCAAACGGTTGTCTTCCAACGGGGTACTTCCCTCAGTGACAATGAAACCTTGTGTGGGGCCTGTGAAGAGGGAACTTGGAAGCAGGGTTTCTTGCAATGCCGCTGATGAGTTTTGGGTTTGCAGCGGTCCTCCTCCTCCTCCGCCTTGTCCTCTTCCTCCTCCTCCTCCTGCTCCTCCCTCTCCCCCTCCCCCGCCCGAAGTGGCGCGGCCCGAGCAGACCAGGCTTTCACTCTCGGAGTCTCGGAGCCTCCTGTCCCTACCCCTCCTCAGCGCGGTGGTGCTCCTGCTGCTGCTGCTGCTGCTCCCCCCCTCCTTCTGCTGCTGCTGCTGCTGCTGTTGCTGCTGCTGCTGCTGCTGCTGCTGCTCCTCCTCCTCCTCCTCCTCCTCCTCCTCCTCCTCTCTTCTTTTCTCCTGCGTGTTAGGAGGCAGCCTCACTGCATTGGAGAAGTCGTCCACCACCAGCGGGAGGGCCAATATTGCGAGGCTGGGACTTCTACATGCCCGCTGCTTGGGGAGTCGATCTTCGGGACCCCGGGAGGGGGTCGATGTGGAAATGCGTATGGCATCCGAACGCGTTGGAGAGTGGCAGAGTGGTATCGAAGACGCCTACGGCGAATCACCGCCGTTCCCTGCCTTTCAGGGTACGCCTACGAGGTAAAAAGTTTGGGCAAAGTTCGGCCACGCTATTGGATCATGCGTTCTCTCTAGCTGTCGTGGAAGTCCTTCGGTGAACACGCTGGGGAGGAAGGGGAGGAGGAGGAGGAGGAGGAGGGAGGAGGAGGAGGAGGAGGAGGAGGGAGGAGGAGGCGGAGGAGGAGGAGGGAGGGGGAGGGGGGGGAGGGGGGAGGGGGAGGGGGAGGGGGAGGGAGTGAGGGAGGGAGGGAGGGAGGGAGGAGAGGAGAAGGATCTATGGATCGAGCTCTGGGGCCGAGTTCGGGGGTGACGCCTACTCTAGATGAGAATTCGAGGCGTTCTACTCCAGCTCAGCCTAGCTGTGTTTGCTTTATGACTGGGGGAGCTGTCGTCAAGTGACGCTCGGGCCCTTCCCGCACCGTCTCTCCCTCTCCCCCACGCAGGGGGCTTGCGGGCGGGGTGGCACCCGCCCTCACGGACGCTCACTCGTCTGCTGCCCTCGACCTTTACCCTTGACTCGCCCCCTTCGGGTTTCTTCGGGGGGCGTCTCGGGGGGTAGGGGAGGACGGTGTACCAGGAAGTATTCTGGAAAAAGCGGCCCCCGAATCTGAAAAGTTCGGACGTGGCCGTGTTAAGCCTTTGGGGTAGCCTACCTCTCTGAACCAATTCTCGGAATCTGGCGCTAGTCTGGAAAACTCTTGGCACCGCTGTCGGAGCGTTTCCAACTCGCACCCGGTTCAATCTAATTGTATTCTTGTCCAAGGCTGAACTAGGCTGCTCATAGCCTACGCTTGGCGTCTAATTCACTGCTGCTGCTCCGCTCACTGTCTCCTGCTGCGTTGGACCTGGCTGCTCACTATTTCCTGCTGCGCTGGCACTCGGTCCGCTCAGTCCATCATCCGCCCTGGCTCCCTCTCCAGCGCCCCCCTCGGTGCTGAGCCAATCTTCCTCACGGCTCTCTCCTTCTTGAGAAGGTTGCACAGGATGACGCCCAGCTGGTGGGGAGTCTCGCCGAACTTGAACTGGAACCTGCACTTCTCCTGGCCGTTCGCTTCCTTGCCCTTGTTGCGTCTGACGCGAACATCAGCACCGTGCCTGCGATGCGCTCGTAGTTCTTGGTGTTGTTGGCGTCCATGATAGCCTCCCCGTAGTACCTCTCGACTTCTTTCTGTGCTGCTCCTTTCTCCAGCGTTTTGCCCATGTACGCGCAGACCTCTGTTCAGACTCTGATGTGCGGCGATCCCAGGCTGCCTGTGTCGACCTCCTCTCCGCGCTTCGCTTTCTGGTGCAGTGCTTGCGCATCCTCGTTGTACTTGCGTCCTGTCCCGAGCCCCGTAGTAGCGATACCCGCTGACGTCACGATCTCCCACGTCTGTAGTACCGCCGCTGCCAGTTCTGCCTGCTCCTGCGCCAGCGTCAGGGTGAGTGTCGCTGTGATGTCGAGCATCTGCTGGTTGTTGTTGCCTTGGCCCGCTGGTGACATTCCTTGCGGTCCTCGTCTCGCTCGGCTGCGGTCCTGTGCCCGTTGTCCCGCGGGTACGCCTGCCATCGCCTGCGGTCTCTGGTTGAATATTGACATCGCGTGCTGGCTGCAACATCGGTCTCGGGAGATGTGTACACAGGTGCCGAAACATAGCTATCCGAGTCCAAGGCATAATGACTACAGAGCGGACATTGTGGCGTATGCGGCTTCGCCGCATGCTGATTCTTGGTCTTGTCTCTGTTGCACGCTCCCCGTACTATACTCCTGGCTAGATGTTTCCAAGCCGTGCCCCTGCATGTAGATATATGCTTGCAATTGATGCACTCGTTGTTGCTTGTAAGGGTGGCTGCGAGGTTGTGAAGGTGGTGCGTTTTGATGATGTTGCTGTGTAATGCTTTCACATTCTCCCACCCCGTCTTCTAGTTCACATTTCCAGGATCTGTTTTCTTGTAGAGCTAAATCTTCCTGATGTTCGGCTGTTCTCTCCAGTACTCCAGGAGGGGGGACTGCTACCGTTAGTTTGCTTGCTCGTACCTCCCGAACGTCTAGTAGGTGTAGCTGTTCTCGAACTTTCAAGGCGAATAGGCGACCGAGTCAGATTTCATCTGCATCTCCCAAGGTGTTGACAAAACTTTGCGAAACCCTGCATGCGTATCGGATGTCCCCGAGAAACCGTTCGGCCCATGGATCCGTGTGGCTGGTGAGTTCGTCTCCTTCATCGTTCTCATCCATCGTATCAAATCCGAGCTTTGCGAACAGGGTTACGATGAGCTGTCTGTGATTATTCTGGTGCATGATAATCTTCTTGAGCCATCCACGTCGTCGTACCAGTGCTTCCTCCGCTGGCGGCAGTCTGCCAGCGGCGGAAGACTTCCAGCGTGCTAAGTGACCGCACGCTGCCGTCCTCTCTCGGCCTTGTGGCGTCTCCTCTCATGGCCTTGCGCAGCAGCGCTCCCATCGCACGCTGTAGCTGGTTGTAATCGCAGGGCGTCGGCAGGTAGCACTCGATGCAAGCCAGCCCCGTGTTGATTACCCAGCATATCAGTGCTGCTCCTTTCCATCGGTGCGGTACGTTGGCCTTGCCCCAGAAGGCCCCGCACTCGTAGTAGCTCTTCCTCATGGCCCTGATCCGCAGTGCCAGCTCCGCTGCGTAGCCCTGCGTGGGGCTGACCTGTGGTCCCGAGTATCTAGCCGTCGGCAGCGTGCGTCACGGTAATCGATGGTCTCTGTCATGCTCGAGTAGGTGATGGGCCCGTCGGGTGCCTGCACCTTGGAAGTAGACGATGTTCTCCTGTTTGTCCTGGTTCCGGCGCATGCCGATCTCTCGGAATCGATCGTTGAGGTTCTCATGGACCCTTCTCGCTTGTTGTGCCATGTGTGCCGCATTTTCCGTCTTGCCTCCCAATATGAT